ACCCCCCCCCCCCCCTCCCCCCTGGGCTGGCGAAAAACGGCATATCGCTCCGTCCCGGCATTGCAGGGGTGCGAGGTCAATGGTCTAACGACTACGGCATGCACGACTATGAGAACCCGCCCCCGAGGCACACACGGCGCTGAATACCTTTGTACGCACCTGCTCAGTTTGAAGCGCGACGGGGTCGGCGTCGACCCTGCCGACGAAGGAAGGGTCGAGGCCGATTGTCTCCGGGGTGAGCTTCTCGAGGAGGGACACGACCTCCGACTCCCTGCGCTGCTTGGAGGTCTGGAAAGGGTTCGCCTCGAATGTGTCGAAGTTTGGCTCCCCCGCCCCGGGCACGACCATCGAGGAGTACCTTTCGCGGGTGGAATGTTGTTTGTTGTTGTCATTGCTGTTGTGATAACTTTTATGTTTTGCTAGTGTTATCGTTGTTGATGATCACTGTTTGTTGTCGCTGTTGTTACTGCTGATGATCACCGTTTGCTGCTGCTGTTACTGATTTTTGATGACTACATGAGTTATGAGACAAAGGTGGGAGCTACAGTTCTCTCCTTTCCCGTTCTCGCCCGCTCCCTCTCGATTCCTTATCTCCGTGCCAACCCCCCTGCAAGCGTCACGACCACTCTTTCCCGTTCTCTTACCCTTCAGTGTGTCCCAATCCCAAGACATCCTGCAGCGGGCGGAAGCGAGTCCGGTGGATCAACCTCGACGGCAGGTCGTGCTCCATGTACGGGGCCTTTGCCTTGGTGGCGATCGCATCTTTCCATACCTTCACGCCGGCGTTTTTCGTCACAAAGGGGGGAGACGCGAACGCGCAGGAAGCAGGTAGGGGCGGGGTCAGTCACATGAGGTTATTAAAATAGGGGAGGTACATCACATGCAAGAAAGAGGGGTACCATATCCACGGCTATAGGTACAAAGGGGGTAATTCTGCTCTGTATGACGTCCCCAAAACTGACAGGCGAAAAACAACTCGACTACTACTGTAAAACATAGGCTATTTCTTTAGATGCTAAGTTTGTTGGCTCCACTGAATGCGAAAATCGAGGCACAAGGGCGCAGAAGGGAAGAGGCAGATACTATGTCAGCGGGAGCAGAACACCGAAAACAGAAATTCAGACGTGTCACACGAGAAAAAAAAATCAGCGAGCCTTCCCGCAGATGTATTCAACACGAGCAGCCTGGACCGCACGGAACGATATTTGCGACAACCCCCCCGACACCATGCCGTTTCCTTCAGCACGTTCACATTTACAGAGTCATGTCTGCTAGCGCTACCTGGACGTGACACCCAAAGCCCAGCGAGAGCAGGCCTCTTTCCGAGATGTCCATGTCCGTGGGGGGAGTCTTGGTCAAGTAGGAGTGAACCTCCTTGTACGTTCGGAGATCCCACACCTTGGTCTTCTCGTCGGAAGGAAGGAACGGAGGAAGGAAGGAACGGAGGAAGGGAGGAAGGAAGGAAGGAAATGGACACGGACAGAGAGGCGAGAGGCAGAGGGGTGGAGAGAGAGAGAGAGAGAAAACACAGAGACGGACAGGTAGAGGGATACGGAGAGAGGAGGAGAGAAGAGCAAAATCAGGTAAGGAGGGACAAAGGAAGATGCTACGGAGAGAACTCAAGGCCGAAAGAAAACGGGCGGCAGGTTCTCGAAGAGAGATGAGAGAGAGATACAAAGACTAAAGAGGGTGTGGCGGGCAAGCAGTCAGCCGGAATCAAGCGCGAAGAAAGAGGGGGATGGGCATCAACGCGGCATAGACGAATGTGCTGAAACGCGCCAGGAACCTGCGCGCTAACCCAATCGCCCGCGCCACGGCGAGGACGAATATCGGCCCATTTCGCGAACACATCGAACACAAGCACACACCTGCTTGTCCATCGCCGACGTGACCATGTAGTGTCCGCCCTTTTCGACAGCGAGGCACGTGATCGGAGCCGGGTGCGCCAGCATTCGCACCAAGGGCTTTCCCATCGCCGGGGACCACATCGTGACGACGCCGTTGTGGTGCCCGGCGTGTAGGACACCGTTGTGGGGGTTTGCTCGCAGGCTATGCATACAACAAAAGAGAGAGTGTCAGAACGTCAGGAGCAGGGGGGGAGTACTCATGTTTTGCATGCCTTAGCGGTTTGACCGTTAACAACTTGTCCTCGAGAGGAGCTAATGTTGGAGAAGAAAGGACACTGGGAAAGGGTGCTAAAATCTGACTTTGCTCTTTTCCTTGGGCTGGGCGGTACACATGTAGTTGCAGAAGAGTGTTTTCGGTTGATGCGTTTCCGGTGCTTACAGATATAAAAACGCTGCGCACAAAGTCCCGCACCTCGACGCTACTGTCTTCCTTCCTCCAAACCGAGACGGGAAAAAGAAAATTGTACCTCGATCGGAAAAGCCTAAAGCCTAGCCAACGTACAGATCGAAACAAGTACAAGCGCCAAAAATATACTAAAAAAAACACATTGGTATTTCGCTTGCTAGACCTAGTCTGACACTGGATAGCTCATCGGGCGCCAGAGGGAGACCTGGACAGACAGCCGCACCCAGCAACAGAACAAGACCGCACAGAATCGCAGCATCACCAATAACAGTTAACCAACACTCCCGCGCTCGCTTCACGCTTTGGCGGCTGGTCCAATCAGCAAGGGCGCCTCGGCCAAGAGGAGCCGAAGCGCTACTAGACTCATCTTTGTCGAGGCGGTCTTGCTGAAGGGGTCACACGCCAAGGTGCGACGAGCACGTAAATGTTGGATAATTCTGTTGTTATGGCTTGTTTCTGTTGCTATTCTGTGCCGTCTTGTTCTTGTTAGATACTGCTGTTGTTGGGAGGTTGACTGTACACATGTAGTAGTGTAGTCTTCAAAGGCTCACCGTCCGATGGATCACGCCAAGGAATTCCGGGGGAATATTACAGCTGCACATCCCATGTACTGCCATCCCGTCCGACATAGGTGTCACGACCGAAGCGAAAGCAAAAACGACTCTCTATTTCTCGCTTCCGTTCCCGGCTGCGGAAGAACGCTAGTTCGTGTGTACACTTGGAGGGAAGGGAGTGCTGCATGTACTCTTCTCGCGGAAAAAATCGAAGCCAAGCACCGTACGGTAGGCACCCTCAGGGATAGGAACCCTGCTGTGTGTCTGACCACGGGATTGACTCTACCACACGGCAAAAATGCTCGGGGTGTGCGAGCGTTGACTTAAAGATATGAAAAGAAAGAAACAAGATGATTCTCAGCCCAACGCACCCTGAACTAACTCGTGTTCAGCACAACCCCATTGACTTCCTCCTCAAACAGCAATTTTCCAGACTCCCCGACGGTAACAATCTAACAGCTAACCCTAAACCTTGGCTACGCAATCTAACCTAACCTGTCGCACGCCCCGAGCTTGGTGCCCATCTCCGCCACCAGCTGCCCCGTGCTGATGTCCGTGTATTTGACGTACCCTGTGCGTCCCACACTCCCAAGCAGGAAGTGGTAGGGCAAGAACTCCAGCCTTCGCGGCTCCACGTGCTCCCGGAGGCAATGCACCTGGACGGGCGGTTTTACGTGAGGACGAGAGGAGAGGAGGACTGGGGGACGGGCTACGCAGGAGGAGGGGGGGGGGGCACGCGACACACAAAAACCAACCCCATCCTATTTACCGCGTAACCGGGGGCACGACACAAGGACACACATGCTGCGTGGTGAAACAAGAAAGGACTCTTGTACGGCATGTTTTACCAAGACGAGAATGCGAGACTAGGAAGGCGAGAGACAGCTAGAAACGCGTCCAAAAACACGAGAGAGAGAGATACAAGGAGGGGGGGGGGGAGAGAGAGATAACGAAAGAAGAGGTGACCGTGCATAAAAACGTGGAAGCGAGGCAGGCGGTCAGCTTTTCTCTTAGACCTTCTTGTCTCTTACCTCGGCCCCCTGGTTGTCGTAGATGTAGACGTACTTCTTCTGTGCTACGGCTACCAGGTTCTCGTTGTGCAGGGTCTTGACGTCTCGGATGGTCTCTCGTAGCTGCACCTGCCAAGATAGAAACAAAGGTGCACAAGCCGGGAAGAGGTAAGGGATCCGCCGATTGTCTGAGAGGAAGACGTCTGCTTGTTGTTAATGTTGTTGTTGTTGTTGTTGTTCATGATGTTGCTATCATTATTGATAATTTTCTCTTTGCGCTGAAAGGACGTGCTGACGTCTATCGAGCGTCCTGTCTTCCGCACTCTTTATAGAGTCAATGAAATCGTGGTCACAGGCAAGTCCACGTGATGTACCACGAGCAAAGCTAATGAGGCAGTCCTGTGCAACAACAGCCAGCAGAAAACTAAATAGCCCAGAAGAACAGCAGACAAGATATATGTTTTTCTTAGTTGAGAAACAAAGCTAAGCACAGCTCTCTTCTCCGTGCGTAGCTTGTCCGACTCGGAGGCTCAGCCAAACAGAGAGTAGACTACATGAAAGCAGTACGGTTAGCGAGCGCTTTCGGTTCAAACCTGCCTGAAACCCGAAAACATAATCCAAACGATTACAACACACACAAGTCAAGATTGCCAGGAAATTGGCAACAGCCCACGCTCTTCGGCCTTGCTCCAAACGAAAAAAAAAATACACCTCGTAGACTTGACTGCGAATTCTTTCACTGCGGGGTGTCCACAAACGAAACAGGGAGTGAGCACACACGGAGGAGATTTCCCGAAGACAACCCGTGGAAACAGCCAAACCGGCACGCGTCCTCTCCACGCGGGAGATCTCCTACGTACATGCCTCTTCCGCCCCCCACCCACAAAAACGCAACAGGGCCGCAATCCACTCCAGGTGGCGGGAGACGGCGACGCCTCGGCAGCACGGCGCACCATCAAGCATTTGGCCTGTTACTACCCTCACACCTCCATCTGAATGTCCATCCTGAGCGTGTCCATGAGGGCGAGGTGCCCCTTTCGGCCGCCCAAGAGCAAGAAGCGTCCGTTCTTGGTGTAGTCGATCGCGTACGGCCCGAGGTCCGGCAGGGAGAGGTCGAACATCTCCCGAGCCGTATTCACGTCCACCGCTTCCTGCATGATGCAACGGTCACATGTGCGGCAGGCGGGGTGCTGACATGTACTCGTACTCTCTAGGGGCAACTTTCAAAAGAAAGAGCGGCCGGCGGCGGCGATTCTACCGTGGAATGTTCACAACCGCTCTACACCAGTCGGCCAGAAGGGGGGGGGTGTGTACTCATAGTCGTGCATGCCGTAGTCGTTAGACCATTGACCTCGCATCCCTACAAAGCCGGGACGGAGCATGCCGGGTTCTCACCGGACCAGGCTCTCACATCACCAAGCGCGAAGCGACGTGAGGTATTCGGCGAGTCGCATGAAGGGTGCGCTGCATCCTGCTAAGGGTGTTCGGCATCTTGTGCTTACTTCCTTGCGTACGGATGACAGCTACGTATGACCTAATTTATTTTCTGGTGCTTTCACTTCCAGAGACAGTTGTAAGCACTGTGTAACTGCCTCGAGGGTGCTTGACCAATATTAACACAACGTGGTGCGATCATCCCCCGTTGCGCGGAGTGAGGGTTCTCCACCCCGCACAACATGATCTACTCGACCACCATTATGGTTACCGCCAAAAAAAAAAACGACGTAGAAAAAAAAAAAACGGTAACCTGGTTGCCGAGTTCACGAAGTGAATTGGCTTGTTTTACAACGTCGTTGCCAAGCGACGAAAACCCAATCCCGATGGCAAACACCGAGCGGGGGGCTTGTTTTACAACGTCGTTGCCAAGCGACGAAAACCCAACCCCGATGGTAAACACCGGGGGGGGGGCCAGAAGGGGGGGGGGTTCAAACCGCGGCATGTGATGGAGGGAAATATGCGATAGACACGTGCACTCCCTTCATGCAACATACGAGCAATCAACACGGTCGGAGTATCTACATTCCCGGCAAGCCGAGCCATTCAATGGCAGGCCGACCACAAAGTCCGTTATCGCAGTTGCAGTTGTCGATGTCCTCGTCGCTGAACTCAACCGTACCTTTAGCTGATCTTGGCCGAACTTGAAGGTCTCTTCCATGCCCTCCGCTTCTAGGAACCCCGCATCTTCGGGCAATAGGAGCTCCGCGACCGCCGTGTTGTGGGCGGCGTCCTCGAACTTCTTCTCCGTCCGCTCCAGGCCGCTTCGCAGCTTTTGGTCGGTCAATTTCTTCACGTGCAAATGACGCCGAGATTGGAGTAGTCCGAGGCAGCAGCGGTGGTGCATTCAGTCAGTGTGGGAGGCGGGTGATGCATGGTATGATTGTTTAACGCGTACGGTGGAGTCAAAGTGGGTGGGGGAAGAGGAGGGACGGGCGAGAGAGAGAGTGAGAGCGAGACGGGGAGGGAGAGAGGGAGGGAGGGGGGGGGGCAGAGAGAGAGAGCGAGAGAGAGAGAGAGAGAGAGAGAGAGGAAGAGTGGTAGTAACTTGTCTGTCTCTCTTCGGCACCCATTTCAAACCTTCATAGCAGCCGCGGCATCTACAAACATACACGCGTGGTGGCTTTGCGATGCAAAAACCTCAACCTTCAACGGGTGCGCAGTGAAGCCCGACTGAGAACAACCTGGATTCATTCGCCTGGGACGTAAAGCGCTGCATCCATACTCCTATGTCATGGACGGTACCGCTGCCTGCAATCCTTCGAATTTCGAATGGTCGCTTGGCGATGTTGTGCTCCCAACCATCCCAAACACGCCTCGCCCCGGGCGCAAATGCCTCTGAAGACACGTTGGACCAAAAGCAGCGTGGGGGTTGCGAGGCTCAACACTGGACATGTTCACAAAAGAAAAAAAAAGATAGCTCAGCAGTTTTTTGTCACCGTAAGGTAAAAGCTTCACAACGGCTGTCGTTCAATCCTGCCAGGAGTCCAGACTACTGGAGTATCCATCCGTTGAGCTGCTCTTTGACCTGGACAACAACTGCCGTTAGTATTGGCAGTGGTTTCCGGGTGCTGCTGTAGCCTTCGCGTTGCTCACGACTCAAGCATACTCTGTATATACCTCGGTGGAGTTTCCTGGTCCACGGGCATACTTCTCCAGCTGTCGATCCATGGCCTGCTCGCCTCGCACGCGGGCTGCCCCTGCCCCACCACCACCACCTCGTCCCCGTCCTCTGCCACCACCACCATGACCTCTACCATGGCCTCTCCCTCTCCCTCTGCCCCCTCGGCCACGACCTCCACCAAGTCCTCCTCCCCTGCCTTGTTGCCCGGCACCTCTGCTCCCGTCCTTTCGCCCTCCTCCGTTAGAAGAAGCCAAGTACCCAGGGCTTCCCGGTGGAGGCGGAAGCTTTCTCTTCACGCCGATGGACGACATGCGGCTCTCGCGCTGTGCTGCTGTGCGTGGGTGCCGCCGGCCCTTGCGCCCTTGCGGCTGTACTGCGTCGAGCGATAATCCCGCCGCATTTATTGTCTTTCGTCCCTGTCGACATAAAGCCTCGCAGGGTGGATTGTACCCCCTCTGTCTCTGTATCTGTTGCGGCGTCGAGTTCAGCGTGGGCGGCAGAGGAAGAGGGCTCCAGACTATGGCTATGGTTGCGCGAAGGCTAGGACCAGTGCAAACTGTTGTGTTGCGACGGACTGGGCTTGGCGATGGCTCTCTGCTTCTCCCTGCATCGAGAACGATAGCGTCGATTCCCGGGCCGATCAACAAGGCCTCCCCGAAGCCGAGTCGTAGGAGCCCGTCATGCAGGAACACGTACTCAACATCGGCAGCACGAGGAACCGCCCCTGTGGCCACGATGCAACCGGTGAAAGGGCCGCCGTGTGTACTCAGGTCTAGCGGTAGTGTTGGTGGGAATAGCGCCACTTGCATTCGGCGCAACCTGCATTGCAACAGCGGTAGAGCTGTTGCTACTGCAGACTGGCTGCGCCCTACGGTCGGTGCTGTACTGCTGCGCCAGGGCGATGCATCAAGGGCGGGAGGGATGCCTTCGTCAAGCGCGGTGAATCAATTACCATCGGGAGGGCACGGTGTAGTGTTCGTGCAGGCGGCAGGCTTGCGGACTTTATCGCGCGTGTTCGCACCTGCTACCGGTGGCGCTGCTGGCAAGAAGCCGGGAGGGGAGGCCGCCTCCCCGTCACAACCGGGTGGCGGTAACGGTCATGGCAGCAAGACTCCGCCGTCCCCCAGTGAGATTCGACCACCAGCGGGTTCCGGTGGTCGTGGTGCAAGCAGCAACATGGACCCTCCTGCGGCGAAGCTAAATAACCCTCAAGCCGAAGCCGCTGAAAAACCAGCAGGGTCGATAGGCGACAATGAGCGAACCGTCAAGGGTGGAAATCCTGATCTTCGGGATCGGGAAGGCCCCTTCGTCGAGATGCGCGACAGGATAAGGCACGCCAGGGCCGACGCCAGCGAGGACGCCAAGGACTGGATGAGGGACAAGAGAGACGACATGAACACCATGAAAGAGGTATGGAACCCATCAGCCCCCTGCCAAGTACGGGAAAATTCTAACTACAGTAGCAGTAGTGCATCGATCTTACATGATGCGGCTTCATCGAGCCACAAGGCATTGAAGAAGAGAAGCCTGACCAGAGGGATATTCATGACTACTGTTGTATGGGAACGGTGCTCACTTACGCCGGCAGAAGCAAAGGTGCCGGAGATGATTTGTCTTGTATGTACAACAGCGATGTTATTTTCTTTCTGGTGGAAACAGAAAGACCAGTAACCAGAAACGGGTATACTCGGGTACTTTATCACCATTTTAGGGTACACTTATAAATCAACACGCTTGCACGCCCAGGCTGTCAGCTGATTGGCCGAAAAACCTTTGTACCCATTTCTGAAAAAAACTCCATCGGGTGCAACTTCCGCTGGAATTAGGACCCTCTGGTGTTACCGATATTGGTTACTAGTGTACCCGGAAGAGGTAGATTTTGTACCCAGAAATGGTCATATAATCCTGGCGCCCGACGCCCGACGACTCTAATACCCGCAGAAAAAACTGTAAACCGCACATACCCGCACGACACACCAGTACCGCACATACCCCACAGTAGCCACACAAACCACCAACGCTCGTTGACGGGCACATGGCCTCGAAGGATACCAATCTCCGACAGCCTCCGCCGTAGATCGCGACGAAACCATCCGCCGTGCTCTGCTGCTGCTGCTGTGCTGCTGTGCTGCTGTGCTGCTGTGCTCCTGTGCTGCTGTGCCTCGGAAGCATGAGGCAGGTCGTGCCCGTTTTGTCTCTCTGTCATTACCTAATGTACGAGCACCACAGCGAGCTAACTCGCGGATCGAGCGAGTTCGACCCCCTCTAGGAGAGGAGCCCGGGCCCACAAGTCGATAAATATGTGAAATTAGACTGACTGGTGTGTCGTGCGGGTATGTGCGGTACACGGTTTTTTCTGCGGGTTTTAGAGTCTTCGGCGCCGGGGTTATTTGACCATTTCTGGGTACGAAATCGACCGTTTCCGGGTACACCAGTAACCAGCATGGGTAACACCAGAGGGTCTGGAGATGCCGCCGGCTACCTGGGGGTGCAGGCGCGTTGATTTCTAAGCGTACCCTAAATTGGTGATAAAGTACCCGGGTATACCCGTTTCTGGTTACTGCTCAAACAGAAACTCCAAAGGCAGCTTCGGACCCAGTGGCTGCTACACGCGCGCCCTGCGGCCCTTCCGTCTACGCTCTCTACCGCTGTCCGTTCTTTTTCCGCACACCCTCCTGTCGGTGGTCGCGCTCTCAAGAATGCGTGTTATTTTTACCTCTTCTTCTTTGCTGCATATGCATACCTCCGTGAAACGTCGAAATGTTGATCTTTGTTCTCGGATGTCCGAGACAAGGAGGCAAGCCGAAGATCTCCCCCGTATGACTTTCATGCGTTCTCGCGCAACTGCGACACGTGCGTTGTTGTCCCTTGCTCCCTTGCTCACCAATTCACCCCCACTTCGGCCCATGAAATGGGTTTTGACCATGCCGCCTCTTGGCAGACCCTGAGAGATGCCCGTCGAGACTTGAGAAACGCTCGCCTGGACGGGACGCTAGGAGCGCAGCTTTCCGACCAGGCCAAGGAGAGCTCGAATCGCCTGCAGGTTGGTTTTTGCCGTCCTTGTGCTGTGCCATCTTTGGTTGATTCCGGTGTGTTTTCTCCTTCACTCGTGTCGAAAGCCCGAAGCGATGGCTGCCTTTGTTTCAAAGACAGGCAAGCACGCGCGCCCCCGGGCGGGAGAGAGCAGCAGCGGTGGCCACAGCCACAGGCGGGGTGCCCTCTACGTCTGACATTCATTATACGTGTTCCAACTCGCACGACGGCAAACTATTGAATGGCAGGATCTCTGGCGAAAGTACGGGGCGGTGGGTATCGGGACGTACTTTGGCATCTATTTCGGGAGCATCGCTGTCTTCTACGGGATCTACGACTACGGGGTCTTGACCAGTCTGCCCTCGGGGGGTACGGCGGTGATCGAGCACGTGAGATTTATTGCCGTCCCCGCCGTCGCCTGGTTGGATGGATGCAGGGTTGCCGAAATATTTCGGAATAGGAGGGTCACAAAACGCCTGCAGTGTTGGATGCCGTATCCTTTGAGTATGTGTACGGCGTTCGTCGTATTGGGAATGGGTGATGATCAGAACGGCGTTGGCATCTGCAACAGAACGCCCGTTCGGTTGTTCGGAGTGGTGTCCCCTACCTCTCCACAAGGGCGGTACATAGCGTACAGCGTAGTCGTGCCGTACGCAAGGCAGGATTCGGACTGCAGCTCTGGCGACGGGAATAACCAAACCCTCGTTTCAAGAACCGAAGCGCTGGGTCAATCGATGGCCGACGATATACCCCAGACGACGCCCCCCTGTCTGTTTTGGGACCTGTGTTCGTGGTTTTCGCTGTCAGATGCAAGAATGGATGAAGAGCGCGCCGGAGTGGGCCCAGGGCTATTCGGACAGGCTTTTCGGGGCCATGGTCGAGGACCACCGCGCCCGAAGCTTTGTCCTCGCTTGGGCCACGTGTAAGGTGCTCGAGCCGGTGCGGCTGCTTGGCGCGATCGCCATCACGCCGAGGATGGCGCGTGCTCTGGGCAGAGCCCCCGCCAAGGTTTCCGATGCCGACGAGGACGAGGGCTCGGACGCGGACGATGGTAGTGGGGGTGGCAGGAAAGGGGGTAGCACGCGATAGTTGCGATTGCGACGAATGGAGTACGTGGAAGCATCACGCGAGGGGTTTTGAGGGAGGCACTGTGCTGCAGCTGTTGGGCTGAATCGCGGCTCGATTGGCCAAGAAAAAGTTAATAATAGAGAGACAGTGTTGGGACGAAGTTAGTTTCGGTTTCGCCACAGACCCGATTGTTGTTGGTAGATGCGAAAAACGTATTTGCTTTGCATCATTTAGCCCGAATCATTGTTCTATCCTCGAAGCGCTTTGGGGCTTCTCACAAGATCGATCAGCGTATCCCGCGGGGCGTGTGACTCTCCAAAATAGTTGGGGGAGTTGCTGCTCGAAATCGAGCATAGTGTCTGTTATAGCTGTCCGATCACTTAAGAACTCACCAAACTGGGCAGCCCTCCTAAGAAGTTGTCGCTGAATCGAAGAAAGCATCATGCATCTTTCGTTTATCTCTTGCGGATTGTAGCTAAATCGCTCTGGACGACTCACAGATGAAAAGTGTGTGTGTCGTCGCGTCCGAGGGTGCGACCGCAACAGAAACGGGCCGTTTGTACTGTCGAGCATTGCGTGTCTGACACTTCGGGAAAGAGAGATGGGGGGGCGTCGACATCCGACATCATTCGCCACATTTAAAAAGGTTGCCGTTGATCGTGTGTGCAAGGGTGTATCCAGTCGGGTTTTCCGCATCAGAACCGCTTGTTGTTCGCGGGTGGGTGCCCGCGAGATCGCGGTAGGAGAAACCACCGCTTTGCTCGCTTCGTTGCTGAAGACACAAAGCGCAGAGCAGCCTGAGCCCTGGGTTTTCTTCAAGAGTGTCTTGCAAGTGTTGTTGGCAACACCAGCATTTTCCATTTTGCCAGTGGTTCAAAACGAAACACACACCGCTGATTTGAAATCGCTGGCCGCGATGTGCGACCGCTGGAATGGTACGCACAATCAATGGCTGCTGCTCCAGTCGGGTGCGGCACTTTCCGGATGCGTGTTGTTGGCACCAAACGCGCCGTACAGCTTATTGGCGGGCGGCGTAGGCGTTGACCTCGGGTGTGCCCATACTCTGTTGGTCCGACGGGTGGTCAAGTACATCGAAGGACTCTTCACGCCATCGGTGCTGACATAACACTATTTGCACCTTCCCTTTGTAAGAACATAACAAGGTCTGGGAAGCTTTGGTTCTTGAGGGCCAACTTCACAACGAAAAATCTGTGTCGCGCTCACCTCTGTTTCGTTTGTTCGGAGTTCGTGGAATGCAATCTGAAGCCAACTGTTTACCGGAGCAAATTCAAGTGCCTCGGACACTCCCGCCACCCACGTTTTTTTTTTTTTTGTCTAGGTTTCAAATCAGCGCTCACAGCGTCGTTTACTCCAACCCGTGGTCACACCGAAGAGCCCCTCTCTACCCTTCCCTCCTGCGGTACTTTGCCTTCGATTTTTAATGCGAGAAGAGTGCAGCACTCTCTTCCCTCTGTGCACACACCAACTAGCGCTATCCACTATGATAGGCTATGATAGGCCATGAGCGGAAGGCGAGAGAAAAACTCCCTTTCTTTGCAAGAAAAGCTCGCTTACGCCGGGATTCGAACCCCTGACCTGACCTCAAGAAGCTTTCGAAAATGCCAACTAGACCACCGGGACGACCGGGATACACTTGGTCTCCGAAAAAAAATGCATCCATCCTATACCGGGGGAGCGGGGGTTCGGGGGTTCCCTCTCCGGCCCTCTCCTCGCTCCCTCCCGAACGCGCGTTCAAATGTTTTAGTCTAATCTTGCGTCCTCCGTCTACCCGCGCCGCGGGCCATATCCATCTTGGACATGCACAGCCTTCATACAATATTATTGGGCACGCCTCCTAGAATATCATAATCTAGTTTAAGCAAAGCTCGCGCTGAGTTGTCAGTTTGGGTCTACTCCCCTAAGTTTCCGTCAACAACCGCGTCTTTGTGCACAAGGAACTCATACAGTGCTACCACATCTTAACAGAAATACTGGAACAGGGCGCTTCCTCTCCCTCCAGAACTATCGCGCCATATCGACTCCACTCGTGTGTGTGTTTTTATTATTTGCATCGACCGCGCTAACCGGCTGACCAATGAAAATACGTCAGTCTTAGTGCGGTTGAAAACACAAAACACTTCTATCTGCCATGAACTGGGACCCCGCGAGGGGGCAGCATGGGGGAGGCTAAACTATCCTTCGGATCAAAGACAGAAATCGTATGTAGCAACAGAAGAAAACTGCACGCGTCTACCAAGGCTATAACCTTGTACTCGAGTTCGTTTTGAAGTACTTTCACCATTATCCTCCTTGTTTTTGATACCATCATTCTGATCATCATTTTGACAACAATCTCTTGGCAGCTTTTTCCTGGCCCTGCGTCTTTTGTTTTGGGGAAGGTCATCTGGCTCTAACCCTTTGCTCTCTTCCACTCCTCCATGTTTCCTCCTCCATGGTCGGTCGTCTTCGTCCTCCTTTCTTCCCTTTCCCTTTGCTTCGTCTGCGTCACTCCCAAAAGAATTACCGTCATTACTATCGTTGTCGCAGAGATCCCAACCGATTGTCCCTGGTGGAAGTTGGTCGATCAGTAGCCCATGACATTTGAACACATCGCGAGTTCGCATCGACAGAAAACGAGCTACGAAAAGCTTTCAGGCGAACTAAGGCTCTGTCGTCGTCAAAATTCCCCCGGCAAAAAGCTTCGTGCGCCAAGTGGTTGGCGATAGCAACGATCGTTGTGGTGTGTGTTGTTGTGTGTGTTGTCTTTACCTTAAAAAACAGTTCTGATCTCTCTACCCAGTATCTTCATCTGCCCGTACTATGTAGTCTAACACGTGACGCCGTCGATTCCCGTGACTTTTGACCCCAAAAAGGTTGACTAAAATGAAATGGACTCGTAGTAGTATCAGAACAAGTCATGACACCCCATCCACGAACAAGAAAACAACAGGATTGGCATGATATCGACATACAGTTCCACCCATACCCGAATCTCGCACCACCTGCTTTAGATTCTCACACATCTTGTTGCTGATACAAACTGAGCACTCATCATCTAAACTCTCTACAATTCCCCTAGCGCGTAGTAACTACGCGTTGTGTTCGTTACACTCAGCAAGACTTCGGCCAGCCGAGTTAAGAACAATAGACTGGAGGGCCACCCGGAAACACCCTTATATTTCTAGGGCGTTTTTGACGCTTGGAAGTGAGCCGGTTGCCGCCACCCCGGATGGAAGACCGAACGTTCAGTGATGATCCCAGCAACATCACCCTACCAATTCAATTCAATATAGGTATCTGGTGTAGCGGGTATTGCCGAACCTGTACCTCTGTTACAGGAGTCTTCCACCCCTCACACTGTACAGTGGAATTGCTTAAGGATCCCTTTTCGGTTGGCCCTCCATAACTTTTTGGTCGCGGCCAAGGGTGCCGGGAAAAATATTTTCTGACACCTATGAGGCGCTGAGGGGGGGGGGGGGGTATACAAAAATCAAATAAAAGATCCAAAAATCATTTTTGAACTTTTACTTTTCTCGCAACTACGGCACCATTTGATTTTTTTTCATTTCGACCTCTCTAGGACGTAGGTGTCGTTTTCACTTTTCTGTGGGCACCCTGTCGCGGCCGCGAATTTTCACGAAACACTTTTCTCGTGACCCTCCACGACATGGCCGACAAGACTAGGGTAACAACAAAGGAAAATAACACACCTCGAAAAAGTACTCCAAATTCAAGAAAGAAACGAAGGTACAAAAGACAGAAAAATATAAAACGCCGATGACTCTGCACGAAACCGTTTGGTTGCAACGAAAGTAGATTCATTCGAAAGCTCTAGGACACAGCTTTCTTGCAATATATAGCACGTTCGGTAATCGACAGGGTGCAGGAGATACTTTTCAAATTGTGTGTCAGGGACCATTGAGCAATACCACTGTACAGCCCTCTACACAATACCTCGACATGTATTAGCCATCTACACACCACCTCTATCGTGGCTATCGGAAGAAAGAACGGCTGGTGCGGCAATCGTGCTCGAAATTGCGGCCGCTGCTCCCCCCCGGTCCACCACCCTCGTGCTCGCCCCCGACTCCCTTCTTCCCCCGTACTTGTAGCAGGAGTCGGCCAGCCACCTTCCGCTCCTTCCTTGTCTACACGGAGAAGAAGGTATGGCAGCTGCCAGCTCGCAATCACATGCAGACTGTCGCATACCCCCATGTTTATATGTGGCTATACCTCCTCCTCCTGCACCATGCCTATTATTTCGCAAACTGGATCTTTGGCCGGAGAGGCCGGCGTCTGCCCTCCCTCCCCCCCCTCTTCTGCTGTACCCTGGGTCGGCACGACACGACCGCCTGTTGTGTTGTTCCGGCCCGATTTGGCGCTGGTGGTGGTCCCCACGGATCCGGAGGCTTTCTTGAACCCATCACCACTGCCGAAGCCAATAACTTCTCCTTTCGTGGCGATAGGGTTCTGCACGGGAACCCGCCGTAGGAGCGCCTTGTTTCTCTTCGAGTGCAGCTGTACGTGAAACGACAGCGCGATCAGGGGGCCGTAGGCCAACGGCAAGGCCAGAAACACGATCGGGTTATCGGTTCCATACTCTGTCGTGAGCGCGAAGATGAGGAAAGCTGAAGCGATACTCGTCAGGGTGATGCAGAAGAACAGCGCCGAGAGGATCGTTCTCTTCGCCGCCGCAAGCTTGGGGTCAGCCTTTATCTTCTTGAAGCTAGTACTGTCGCCGCTCAGGACACTGCGGCCCCTCTGAGCGCCTTGCGCCTTTTGACTGGCGATATCGCGCGCCATCGAGCCGTCAATAATGTTGATCATTGAACGGCTGCACATGACAATGAGCAGGATGCGTAGAACGGTTACAACTATGTACGCGATGGCGGCAATCTTGTAGCCCTGCCCCGTCCACGCGATAAATGTCAGGAAAATCAAGAATACTGCTCCAATGGACACGCTGGAGAAGGTAAGGCACCGCCCCACCGGGTGCGCCAGCGCGGCCGACGCTTTGAGGATGACGGCGTCCATCTTCAGGAGGCGCGGATCAACGCTGATTATTTGACGGCGTGCCCCACGGAGAGAGCAACGTAACGAGGCGAACGAGCAATAAAGGAAACATGTCACACACGGTTCAGAAGGAAAAATGAACGAAGGCTACGGAACTTATTGGGTGGGCGGGAGTATGACTCGCACGTGCAGAAACTCGCCAACAGACATGTGTATTCGTGTAGACTTGAGCAGAGGGGAGTGAAAACATCAATGGAAAGGCGCGTGCTACACGAGATGCTTACATGTCGTAGACGGCCGTTCTACTCCACGGTGTGACTCTTAGCATGGAGGAAGAAAAAATCCTAGGACCATGGGCGAAGGCAATCAGTTGACATTCTTGCATCATAAAGTCTTAGGATGAGCAACGCAGTTTTGAATATCGTCACCGGAGCGTAGACAGGTAGCACGAGATTTGGGGGTCTAGATGGAGGATAGGGTCATGTCAACTTGAGAACTGATGTGTTTTCTCAGGAAGTTGGGATGTCCATCGCGGAAGCCATCTCGATATCACGCTGGACGCGGGTTACTGTTGTCTGATGACAACCAATCCATCCTTCTTCTTGAACGCCGATACAGCACCAAAGAGGAAGAGGGCCGCCAACAAATCATTTACCGTCCAGTCAGTTCTTCCTATGAGCATCAAATAGCAATATCTTCGAACGCGTGTTCTTTCGACCAGGACGGCGATGGGTGTGGAGAATACGCAGCCTTTCATCTACTGTATGTAGTGCCGATTCTCTCTGTGTTTCTACGTGTCGCACCACACTCACCTCCGAATCAGAACCTGCACTGTCAGAACGGCCCCTATGCCCGACAAGATGTGCGACACTCCCAGGGCCACCGCCGACCACCGCACGCTCTCGTCTGGTAGCCACAGCCCTAAGGCAAAGTACAGGCCTATGACGAGCGCGTGGATGACGGTAATCATGCTGAGCTGCTCGCGATACACGTCGACACGCATCCTCACCGCCATCCCGCGATCGCTCTGCATGGCCTCACAGCGACGCTGCGGTTGTATCCGTGCGTATGTGTGTTCGACAGGTGTTTGTTATGTCTATCTTGCGCAACCAAGTTGGCTGGAACCGTATTGTACAGCATCGAAAGAGAAAATACCGGGAAGGGGTGCTAGAGAGAGGAGGGATGTGGGTTCATTGGTGTGAAAAATGATAAAATATCTACGATACTTGATGAGCTGTATCTGTGGAGATATGCCCTCGAGGCCTTCGCTTGGGCTCCTTAACATAAACTGCTCCGTGCACGACGTCGGAAATCCTCCATACCCCAAGCCTTGCCAACAAATCCGTGAAGGCCAGTGGCGTTTCAAAAGCCCTCCTCCGTACATACGCATCCCACAATATCCCCAGAAAGAATAAAAAAAACTGGCCGACACGCGCACTCGATATACGAGATCACCGACCTGCTGTTTCAAGTTGTAGGCCGCGTGAACGAGATGCACCAGAGACAAGGCCAGGCCCACAGAGCCGAAAGCTTCGAAGACGGCCCATGGCACGCACGAGGCATGCCCCACGATGTTGAACGCTCTCCAGTTCTCTCCACAGGAGCACGTGCACGTCCCCACATCGTCGTACATAGGCACTCCCTCCCCGCCCCAAAGGAACGACCGGCACATCTGGTGTGATTTGTGATGTCGCAAGAAACTTGTGTTGAATGGGTCTTAATCTCGTTGTTCGGACCTCGCAGAGCCGAAGACGAACAGAGGACAACAGACAGTTGCTGGGACCGCACTTTGTTTGGATATCGCGCCTTCGTGAAACCGACCTAAGCTACCACGGGGTTCGGTGAACACACATCGCTAGGGTCGACACGAAAAGCCATGCTATTAGCCAAGTTTATCACGACACTGGTTGAAGAACGCCACAAGTGGTGGTTGCCTTCAGCAAGTAAGTTGTTGCAGGCTGGGGCCCACTAAACGGTGCTCCAACTACTGAAAATTAAGTTCACGGCCCTTGGACAACATCAAACAGGGAGACACATGCACGAACTCATTGAGTTCTGCCACATGTCCTTAAAGGTCAGTGGATAAGACCCTGATGCTAACCTAGTTGTCGATTGATGTTGAAACAAACCGCAAGGGCACCAGAAAACGCACATGAGACACACAAGACCGGCCGGAAGGCATCGGGAAAACAAGAAATCGTTGATTCTCGAACAGGGCGGCAGTAGAGGCTGCTAAAACTTCAACATATCATGACTCTACCCCCACACGCCTCCTTTGAGATCAAGGCAAAAACCTCATGCAGCTGATTCCGGCGACGTGTGTGTACGTGATGATGGATGCTATTGCGCGAACGAGGAAGAGAACGGAGGGAGATAGCCTGGCGGAGGAGGGAGTTCTTGGCCTTTATGACCGTGATTAGCTGAACGATAACGGCAAACGACTGCTGAACTTCGCGATAGACAACAAACTCGCCATCAACACCTTCTTCAGTACGCGGAAAGGCGGAATATCACACACCTTCAACGGCGCCAAGGGCACAAGGGTGGGTGGCCTTAAGCGTATAGACTACATCCTAACGCGACAAGCACACCGACGTAAAATACGCAACGTAGTCGTACACCCCAACCCACATATCCGACCAAGCCGAACTCCGATCACAGCGTGGTGGTGACCACTGTTAACCCCCTCAGTATCCGGATCGCGAACAACCGCTCAGCTCGGGACGACAAGCCGAAACGACGGCAGTTCAGTCGCAAACGCCGTAGGGGAATAACAGAGGAACAAGGTGATCGATCAGTTCCTCCAAAACCTTGACCAGCAAACAGACCAGCCCAGCCTTTAACGCCCCGGGAGACGCGAGGGAATTCACACAAACTATCCTTGAAGCAGCGCATTCAGTGCTGTCGGCAGGGACCTGGATACCACGTTTGCCACAGCCCCAAAACGAGAACAGCAGTCGAGGCAGCCCTTGCCGCGCGAAGGAAAGCACGTCGACAACCGACCGAAACCCAGCAACATGGAAAGCACTCCGGGTCGTTGCAAGGCAGTACGTACAGCAGTCGATGGCGGCATCTATACTCACTTGGAGGAGTATGTGGCTAGGATGGAATCCATCCTCGAGGATCGCGACATGCGGGGACTGTAGAAACACCGCAAGAGCTCAGTTGGGCTAGGCGGAAAGAAGACAGGCGGACAGCAGCACGCCAAAGATGAGAATGGTGTCACGCTGAGGAGTAAGGATGAGGGTCTCCAACGGTGGGCGAGGTTTTTCGGCTCTCTACTAAACTCTAACCCCCCCACGTTGAACCCATCCATCATCGAGGAGGTATAGTAACGACCGAAGGTACCAACCACTGACGGCTCGCAACACCTGGGGTCCGCACCGATCCTAGAGGAGACTCGGAGAGCAGCAAGAGGGATGAACAACTGGAGAGCGCCTGGTCATGATTCCCTGCCGTTAGAACTACTCAACATCGACGACGTAGACGAGCCCATCGTGATCGAACGCTTCCACGCCATCCTCGTCGACGCGTGGAACGGGAGGGAGGGAGGTCCCGCAGGAATGGAAATATGCCTCCATCAAGATAGTCTACAAGAAGGCGGATCGACCCACGTGTAACAACTACAGGAGGATATCAATTCTGTCGCATGCGGGCAAGGTGCTCCTGAAATGGTCGCTAGCCGTCTCAGTGACTGCTGCGAGAAGCACGACATCTTGCCGGAAGAGCAGTGCGGCTTCCGACCTGGAAGGTCCGCCGTCGACATGCTGTTCGTCGTACGACGAGTGTAGGAGCTGGCACGGAGGCGGAATATCCCGCTGTATATGTGCTTCATTGACCTCCAGAAGGCTTTTTACTCAATCGACTGGGAGGTGCTGTGACGTGTACTGGCCCGATCGGGGATCTCAGAGCAAATTATCGCCGTCATCCGCCAGTTTCACGACGGCATGCAAACTCGGGTACGCATGGACGACGGGCGCTCTCTGACTGGTTGGAGGTCGTCCAGGGACTGCGACAAGGATGCGTGCTGTCACCATTGCTGTTTAACATCTTCTTCGCGGCAGAGCTCGAGGTAGTTCTGGTACGATTCAGCGAAGACGAAGTTATCCTCAGGGATCTGGTATACTTCGAGGGGGAGACTAGGACGAGGGCAACGACACCGCTGGAACGAGTCCGGAAGGCGGTGTGGGGCATACTGTACGCAGACAACGCTGGGTTCGTATCGAGATCGGCCGAATGCGGATGATGACCATTATAATGGAAGTGTTTGGATCTTTCGGGCTGACAGTGTAGGAGAAGAAGACAGAGACTCTTCTGATGAAGGTGCAGGAGAAACAATCGAAGAAGGAAGGGGTCGCCGCTACCGTCACCCCCACCACGTGTGACACCGCTGGTAATCGAAGCGACGGGACAGAAGTACCCCCAGACAGCGGAGTTCCGATATCTGGGTAGTCGGGTTGGGGAAGATGCTGACCTCACGCAGGAGATCAACCAACGGAGCAGAGAAGCGTGGGCGTGCCTCCGTAAGTACGCCCGGGAGCTCTTCGACAAGACGACAGCACCGTGGGGACTTAAGGTCCGGCTGTACGGATGCACGACGTGGGTCCCGTACCGCAAGCACTATTACGACCTGCTGACGAGCACGCACTACCGACTTCTGCTACGGGTTATCGACTACCGCCGCACGCGCGGCCACTGTCGGCAGCTCTCATACGCCCAAGCCCTCAAAAAGGTCGGATGCCAAAGCGTGGAGGCTACTGTCCGACAACAACGACTACTGTTTGCAGGAGTATTGGCCAGACAACCGGACGGGCGACTCCCGAAGCGATTGATGTTCGGAGATATCGTGGGGGGGGGGGGACCCAGGCTGCGGGTGCCCGGAAAAGAATTGGGTGTTATGCTTGAACTACAACTTCGTAGAGTTCGGTGCCAATGCCGAATCCACGGATGACGACCTGAGGACGTTCGGGATACCGTGTGGATGCTGGCCACTCGCAGCGAAGAGGGAGATGGGGTTTCCGTGGTACAAACGGGTGTTAGAGGGAGCGGAGCAGTTCATGGTCTTATGGCACAAGGAGCAAGAGAAGCAAAGCAGACTACACGGGAGGAACGGAACAAGAAAAACCACCGGAGAGAACACCAAAAGGACAGCCGAACAGGGGGGGAACGGGGCACGGGGGAGGAAACGTCGAAAGATAGAAGGCAGGACTGCAACCGAAGAGAGCAGGACGGATATGGCTGAACGGATAAAGAGATATGTTCCGGACTGTTGATGATGGAGGCGATGACAGGAATACCAGCCGGACGTGTCCCTATATTATTCCATCGTATCTCTATGGCAGGATGTGATGGTGATGTTGTTGTCCTGGTAAGCCATTCATTTGTTTGGTGTCGCGTTAGTATTTGCCTATTTTCGTTGTTCCGGTGGAGCGTTGGAGGGGGCTTTATGTTTTCCTTTTTGTCTCCTTTCTCCTTTTTCTTTCTTACTCTTTCTTTCTGTCTCCTTCTTTCTTTCACCCCTTTTGACCGGGGTCGATTGTGTGTGTAGTTTTTCTTTTTTTTCTTAATATTACCCAACGAATCCATCTCTATCGTAGAAAAGAGTCAGAGACAGATTAGCAATGAATTCATAGCGGCAGAAAAAGCTACCTGTATGTCTACGATTTCCCAGACATCATATAGGGACATCTCCCCTGCGGGTAACAGGCTCAACAAAACAGTTTGGTAGCTGTCTTGTGTGTCTCATATATGTTGTGTTGGGAAGCTACATAGTAAATCGCATCTTGGAGGACTTTTCTGGGGTCCATGTTTTGTATTGATTTCTAGCGAAGGTGTATGGGGGTATTTGGCTTTCGACCCATGGAAGGAGTCTGCGTCAGTTGGACTACGGGCAATAGGCACTGAGCGGAGACCGGAGCGGTTTTTAGTATGAAGACAACAACAAGAACAACATGACGAGAGCAGTGACTGCACATATTCCCTTTGTACAAGGCCAGTAATGACAGCCCGTCCCAACTCTCGACCTACAGGGTGCGCGACTTAAGAACGCCGCATGGGACTTTGACACGTTCGAGTCCCGTATCCATGCGTTCTAGTCTATGCGTAAGTTGTCGTGAAGACCCACTGGGTTAGTTGTGACCGCGAACCATCGGGCACTGAGTGCAGACCGGTGAAGACAACAATGACACACTACAGTACATCTTCTTCCGGATTCGAAGCACGCTTGGGAGCTATCGGTCAAGGCAGCCGCTGATTAAACAAAGTCTGCTTCCCACCACCACACAGTCATCGCCTCTCGCCACGCCGTTGAGCGAAGGTCTGTGCTATCTTGTATGTATTGTAAAGTCTACAGCAGCTAGTCTATCGCACGTCCCGACCTTCGGGCTGACGCGTCCTCGCACCTGAACACATTCGTCTTCGAGGACTCCCAACATGGGTAGGCAGCACCCTTGTATGTACTGTTGCCCAGGTGATCACGACCCTTAGCACGAAACAACACAATCTCGGGATGTTGGGAGCTCGCGAGCTCGGGAGCTGTAGGACGATGAAGCATCACCTGCTTCTTCGTGCCTGTTCGGAGATAACTGCCGCGTTTTGTCCAAAAGGCTACTTCCAGCTTCGGCCACCAGTTGG